TAAGTAACGGACTAACATAGTGTGTTATTAGTATTCATGTCATTTCCTTAATAAAACTTTTCAGTGAATAACCTTATAGTCAGGCTGGTAGTTAAACTTCATAAAGTTAGGTGGGTAGGATTCCCCAACAGTAGGTTTCAGGCTGCATTTTAAGAAGTGTCTTGATTGTTCACATTTTTAGGGTTATTTTTGTGACATTAATTTAAAGCTAACTGCCTACACCAATTAGTTCAGGTAAGTTATTAAAGCACAGAAGTTTGGCACTGTTTCCCCAGTTAAATATACAAGACTTGCAACAAGTACTAACATGCTTTCTAAAATTGTGTTTATTTTATAATTACTAGAATATCATTAAAGCTAAGTGTGCATATCTGTATTTATAGTATGTGTACATATATAAATGTGTGTATAGTTTTGCAAGTTTGAAAAAGCTTGACAAAACACTTGATTATGTCAGTCAATACTGATTAACAAAAGCTCTTAAGAATTTATTTCTCTAAGAATTTTATCTGTTGTTAATTTTACAATTTCAGAAATGACTGTGTACTAAGAAATGGTAGAATACTCTCAGTGAATAATAGTGTGGGTAGGTTAAGTTTTTTGTTTTTTTTTTTTTGATAATACGCTATTATGGGATTAGGCAGGTCTGAATGGTTATCATTAAGCAAAATTCCTTTATAATTTACTATGGTTGAATGTGCTGAGTTTCTCTAAGCAGTAAGTAGATTCTTAAGAATTTATTTGGAAACTGTGCAAAAAATACATTTTATGTTTTTATAAAATTTCACAATCAAATTTAACTTCTTGAGGACTTTAACTAATAAGGGTACATTAGTTCCAGGAACTGCTGCCGGGCCTTATAATAAATATGGTAGGTAAAATCATTGTAACATTGGTGTGAGTGGGGAACAAGATACTCTGTTCCTATTTTCTGTTTGTGTGTCATGAGACTTTTTGGTCAAATATAGTTATTTCAAAAAATGTTTGGAACTCTACAGGTTGATATTACTTGATAAGCTGCAAGATTAGTTGGACGTGTGGGAGGGATTCACATCCATGGGCCTTTCACAGATGTCAAATGTCGCCCACAGCACACCAGTTTTGGGCTGACAGTAAAAATGCCATTTGTATCCAAAAGTGCCAGGCAGAAAGTGCATGAATTTCATCGTACGGCTTATATGGTACTTAATATACTTTTCTGTGCTTTCTCACAGCAAGCACCGGATTATTTATTGTGAGCAGGATTTTTCAAATGCTCTAAGAGTCTTGCTATATCTGACTGCTGACAGAAAGGAGTTAGGAAGCTCGCTAAGCTTGTCTCCTGAGTTTCTGGTGGGGTACAGAGGCCTATATTGATATGTAAGTTTCCCAGTAAATAATATTTAGAGCTGAAACTCAGAAAGTTAGAAAGCTAGCTTTTTTTAGATAGCAGTGGTTCCAGTACTGTCACTATCCCAACTGCTCAGAGAGCATGCCACTGTCCCAAACCACCACTGGAGCAATAAAGCTTCCTCAGGATCCCTCACAAGATTCTGAAAACCTCTTGCTCCATCTTTATTCTATTTCTGTTTTGATGGAAAAAAAGCTTTTTAATTGGTTTGAAGGCACATTCTGATCAGACTTTTAAAGCCATTTCATTAACATAATTTTTATAGGCACTATCCTGCAAACATTTCATCAGTATTGATGCTACTCCAGAAAAGTTAAGGCTACATGAACACTTGTGAAAATAAAGATTCAGGATTAATCCTTTACTAATTCTGAATGTATGTTGTCCTTTCTTTTATTTTTCAGATAGAAGGTCTTCAAAAATAGAATCATAAAACAGTAATCTTAATCCTCCTGACATTTCATAAATAGCTTCAAAAATTATTTACCTGAAGTCTTTATAAAAACTACAGTAGCAAAAGTATATAGGGATATAGGGATAATAAGCATGCCTGTAAGTTTTGCGGTTGAACTGAAATACATAAGGTGAAACTTCATCTCCATCCATATTCATGCTTTGTTGTTGTAAGAAAATAAGGAAAGTAAATTTGAAAAATATCTCTCTTGCAAAGGTCACAATCAAAACTACAAACTGTGGAAAAAATTTCAATTTAATCAAGTTCTCAGATTAATCCTTGCATTTTCAACCTATCAGCATTAGATCCTGTAAGTTCAGACACTCAAATGAAAGGAGACTGAGTTTAGTTTTAAAACTGTACAGACTTCAGAGTCATAGCAAGAATATTCCCCTGCCATAAAGTCTAATGAGTGCATTGGTTTAATGCTCTTGTAAAATGTAGTTTTAGCTGTCTGTTGGGGGCAGTTCTGTCCTCTACCTTTTATGGGGCAATTCTGGGCTACTTAACCAAGGCTCACAAGTGTGCTTTCTCTCCCATAGCTCTTTCTGAGGGTTGCCTGGCATGCTATTTCTCAACCCATCCTGTTTGTGCTCAGAGTTTGCATGGAGAATGTGTACCGTAGCTGTTTCATGTATATACACGAAGTCTAAAATTGGAATCAGTGTTTTTTGTTTTTTGGAGGAGCTTTTGAGTCATATTATTGATAATGAAACACAGGTGCATTTATCTAACCTTACAATTTTTATATTTGTTCTATGTGGAAATCTAAATTGATTAATTTAAAAGCAAAGATGCAGTTCTCTGAAACCTCATGTGTTTCATAGTAAACATTCCCATTATGTGAAGAAGAATTGCTGGCAAGAAGAAATATTTGCAGCAGTGGGATTGTACAGTGACCAGCCTTTGTCCCAGCGTGCGTAATTGTCATCTTCCTGGTGTACAACACTGCTGCACAGGAGCAAAGTTAAAATGGGTCTGTAGTCATACAAGGCGGTAAAGTCAGTCACAGGTGATGGAGGTTGGCTCAGAAACTCTGTCCCTTTGCTTTTGCCTGGTCAGAGTTGATCCCTGAGGAGAGCCAGAATCAGGATATGTGCTACTCCCTTGGGAATATTTGCAGACTGGGATCTTCCTGCCCATCTTTCCTTGGTGCCCTTCCAGAACTGGTCTTTCCCTCAGTCATAGAATAATAGAACCAATCGTTTAGGTTGGAATAGACTTGAGAGATCATCAAATCCAACTGTTAACCCAGCACTGCTGTGTTCACCACTAACCCTAACCCATGTCCCTTAGTGCCACATGTACGCATATATCTGGTCGTCCTTCTTTAAGCCTATAACTCTGAGGATGCATTCCCACCATTTGTTTCGCCATTTCAGCTTTCAGGAAGTGGTAGTCACTGCATTCCTTTGGCATGTCTGAAAACTGGAGGGGGAGGAGGTGCAACTTTGCCCCATCTCCACTTCAATCTTACTTTGAGGAGCCGTGGCCAAGCCCAGTTTCTGCAGTCTGGAAATTGCACTGCACGGCACAAAAGAGTGCAGTAATTTATACATCAACAGTCGCTTTTCTTGCCATAACATTTCATTGTTCTAGTTCCCTAAATCTGTAATTACATGTCTTTGTCCTGCTACGTGCTGCTTCATAACAAATATAATTCTTACACAGGCTTTGTGAGTGAAAATAATCCTGCTCAATTAGCACAGATCATAAACTTGAATTGTATGGGAGCAAGCAGAATTTGGGGGGCGTTGCATCATCCTTTAATTTAGCAAGTTCTCCCCCACCACTACTGCTGGTGGCTCCTTTCTCCAAGCCAGAGGCTGGAGGTCACTGACTGACGCCTACAGCTTTGTTCTGTGTGAGTCTTAATACTCTTAATTTAAACTTTCCAGGAAGGTTGGCTGTGAATAAGCTAGATTTACTATGTGTGCTGTTTAAATACTAGCACTTGGAGAAGGGTGTTCATTAGGCAGCAGTTGTTTCAGTCGGTTTTTCAGGCCGATTTTCCATTAAGGAAGATCTTTGGAAAAGGCTGGCAGGCAAGAGAAAGAGGAAAGAAAGTCAGTCTTTTAGGTCTGTGCATTCGAGTACGTTGTGTTGTTGGCTGTCGTTCTAAAACATGCACTTCTTGGCCTTAATTGGAACAAATATATCTTAATGGAGAGAGAAACAAACTTGCTGTGGCTTTTGTCTTTGTGAGAACAAGGCTACTCATTTTGTGGATTAATCAATACTATAAGTAATTATTTATATTTTTCTTTCATGAAGTGCTGATGTTTGCCTGTTAATTATTATGATTAGAAAGACACAATATTATGCCTAAGTGAAAACATTAAAGCTCACTGTCTCCTTGTGTAATAAGTGTTCCCATACTAAGGCAGAAGCACACCTGTGTTTCACCTCTAGCACAAAAAACAACAACAAAATCAAAAAAAAACCCTAAAATAATGACAGTAATGGTGGAGTTTACAAAGACAAATCCTTGTAGTGTAGTGGTCACATTGTCTTGGATATAAGTGTTTTATCAGAAGCATGTGTGGTCTTTGAGTCAGGTAGGTCTCTGTCCGTTCTGGATCTGTAAGCATGGTGCTGCTGAGTGACTGATGTTCCTTTGTGTTACACTAGTGATATCAATCAGCATCTTAACATGTTGTTAACTCTTAAAATCTAAGTTTTTTCCTGTCCCACTTGGCTGTTCAAGGGTTTGAAAAATTAGTCTGGTCATTCTCCTATGTCCAAAATTAGCAAAATATGTGCAGGAATAGTAGAAATGTTACTAAAGCAGAAAAACGGAATTGTAGCCCACCAGATACTGCATTAGCTGCTCTACATGCCAAATGTGGAAGAAATAGCAGTACTTGCCAGAGAGATGTAAAACCTGCTACAGTTCCCAAAACTGGGATAAGGGCTATAAATTCAATCCATCTCAAATTTCCAAGATCTAAATAAACATCTTGTTGATATTGAGTTAGGCTCAAACTAGTAAGATTTGGTTTGCTCAGTGTGTCATTTTCGTTTTGGAAACCGCGTTTGTTCCTTTCTGTTCATTGCAGTTGCTACTTTTCTGCATGAAATTTTATCAAGTGTCTCACATTTTCCCTCTTCTTCTCTCCCCCTACCCCCCCTTTTTTTTTTTTTTCCCCATTTTAGATTCCTTCCTGGACAAGGATTGGTACTATATCCACAGATAGGAGACAAACTGGATATTATATGCCCAAAGGTGGACTCTAAAACTGTTGGTCAATATGAATATTATAAGGTCTACATGGTTGATAAAGACCAAGCAGATAGCTGTGCTATTAAAAAGGACAATACACCTCTACTCAACTGTGCCAAGCCAGATCAAGATGTTAAGTTTACCATCAAGTTTCAAGAGTTCAGTCCTAACCTCTGGGGCCTGGAATTTCAGAAGAACAAAGATTATTACGTCATATGTAAGTTCCACGTTTTAGTTGTTCGTTCTTTTTAGTGTAATTGTTCATTCTGTAGTACACTGTCTTGTACATTCTAAACAACCTAAGAGGAAAATGAATGTGTTTGTGTTTTTTATCTGAAAATAATTTCTTGCCAGCATGTTTTCAGCATTATTTCTGATTTCCAAAGGGTCTCTGTCTCTTTTTCTCCTTGGTTTGTATAAATCAAATTAGATTGTGCTGCTGTGACTGTAAAGGGCTTCTTTCTTCTGTGCACTCTATTGTGTCATGTGTTCTCATTGAAAGGTGTGTGCAGCTAAACTGCGATGCATTTCCTGCCCTGGTGATGCACCATCCTGTTCGCCTTGTCCTTGGTGCTTCTTATGCCAGGAGTAGGGGTACGGTGACCTGGCTATTCTAAGATGGGGCATACTATGTGACATGGCTAGCCATTGCTCCATGTGGTCCAGGCAGTCTCACAGGAAACATCTTTTGGCGATTTTGATGCCAGTTTTGGCACTGTGGTTTCCTCACAAGGGTTACTGTCGAGGAGCTGTAGTTGAACATGCCTTTCCTCACAACTGTACCTACTGTGTCCGTACAGTAGCCAGGAAGGTTCTCGGGCAAAACCTAGACTTGCATGACTTTGGAATGTCATCCTTTTTCATGGTCCTGGCTTGCAAAATGAAGGTGCATGGCATAGGCCTCTGTCCAACAAAATAAACTTTGTGTTAGTTTTAGTCTGATGAGGAATTTATGGCTGAGAGCAAGTCTGGAGGTAGCCACAGTGTTTGGTGATTCAAATTACTTATGATGTGTAAAGTTAATGATGTAAATCGAGAGTTAGCATTAGCTGAGACCTCAGCAGTACAACAACAATTTACATTAGTTTAGGTTTTGTCATTGTAATACTATGCCCTGCAGATCTCATTTAGCTCCATGGGCACTTTTGAAGTCTTGAGCAAATATCGCCAGTTATTACGAGATGGAACAAATTCTGTGTTCTGGCTTTTCTGCAGTTACAAGGAAGTTACATACTGGTATGTCTGATTTAACAGAATCACAGAACAGTTTGGGTTGGAAAGGGACCTTTAAAGTCCAAGCCCCATTCAGTATGCCGGGAACTCTTCAACTAGGTCACGTTGCTCAGAACTCTGTTACCAGGGATGGCACATCTAGCATCCCCCTGGACAACCTGTTATAGTGTTTCACCATTTTCTTTTTCACTGTAAAAAATTTCTTCAATATATCTAGTCTAAATCTACCTTCTTTTAGTTTAAAACCATTAACTCTTGTTCTGTCACAACAGGCCCTGCTAAAAAGTTTGTCCCCAAACAGATTTCTGCCACCTCCTTGAAAATTGAAGGGTTAATAACTATTTCATGTGATCTCTGCCGGTGTAAATATTTCTTAATTTTTTAGTTTAAAATAATAATTTAATAATAATAATAATAATAAATTTAAAAAGTACTCTGAACAAGTATTTTTAAAATGGAAATGGAAATTCAATATAAATTAATGCTCACTTCCCAGTTATATCCATTATGGTACACACAGTTTATAAAAAAGGTTGTATGTCACAGAAACGAAGTAAGAATTCACTTATTAAATATCAATTGTAGAAATTACTAAATAACAGTAGTGGGAAATACAAACCACCATTTTTTTGTTTTAAATATCACTTAATATAGGCGCTTTCTCTTTTAGTTGGGGGGTATATAAAAACTTGATACCACTTAAACAGTATTTGACTTTAAAAAAAAACCCGAACGCTTAAACAGTATTTAACTCTTGACAAATTCCCACTGAAATCCACTGAGGTATTTACCAGGGTAAAAATGACAAGATTAGCTATTAAGAGATAGTTATCTGTAACTCCACTGAAAATGTATAGCATAAAAATGACCATGCTCAGATATTTGGTCTAAATGCAGAAATATGCTCAGGATTTAGTGCTGCTTTTAAAATCATCCACAGAAGACCAGCTGCAGTGGAACAAATGGCAGTGTTACAATTATTACCTGAGAATTATGGGCACAAATGGAGCTTTCTGATACCCTGTCAGTTCTGTCATATCTATGTCATGGATTTACCCAGAGAATTATTAAGTGAATCTCATTTTCATTAGTTTTGTATAATTATTTCATTATAGCAATAAGACATAATAGATGTTGCATTTTCTGTAAGATTACAGTATAACTTGGTTGAAAGAACTTACTCAGCTTTCAGCCTTAAAAGTCACACTAGCCTAGCAGTAATACTGGAGTGCCTTAGGGTATTACTTTTCCTGCTCATTGTGGCATAAACAAATGGCTAATTTATCACTCCATTGCTAGCATACTGACCAAGCGGCAGTGAGGGTACCTATACATTTTAATGGGCTGGACAAAAAAACACCCCAGCCCTGAAAACCCAGCCATCCTGAAGCTAAAACTCTCACTTTTCTGTCATTCAAGGCGAAAACAATAAACTCAGTGATGTTGGTCTCAGAAACACTGAGAGGGGTAGAAAACTAGGCCAGTACTCAGCTAGGACACCATTTTACGGAGATACTGAAGCTAGATAGGGTTTTAACAGTTTGTGTTCAAAAGCTCTTGATGCAGCCTTGTCAATGCAAGTTCTGGTAGTCAGAATATTTGCCATAATTTCTTGTAATACATCTTAATCACATACAGAAATCAGGCTGTAAATCGTTTGCATAAATCCCTCTTCACAGACCTGCAATTCTTTCTTCTTCTGACCTTCCTTCCTTCCCTCCTTCCTTCTTTTACCTTCTTTCCTTCATTCTTTCCTTCCTCCCTTCCTTCCCTCCTTCTTCCCTCCTTCCCTCCATCCCTCCCATTTTGTAGCTTTGAGTTTTGTCTTGCTTGTTTTTTGGGGATTTTTTGGGGGGATTGAAGTGCTATGAAATGAAGGCAATGATGCATTTTATGTGCCAGCTTTTGATTTTGAAGTATTTTAGGACAGGATCTTGCATTCCCTCAACTAAGGGGCATCAAACAAACCTGACACGAGCTTACTGAGCTCAGCATCTTTGCAGCGCTTGCTGTGGCTGCCCCTGCAGCCCAATCTCACGCTATTTATGCTTGGCAGGCTGTTGTCAGCCCTTTAAACGTTTTGTGCATCGTCAGGTACCTTTATCATCTCACCATTATTTGAAAACACAGTTTGTTTTTCTAAGCTAATAGTATGTGGTTTGTGGAGCTGTATTAAACAGTAAAATCTCTATTCAGATTAGGGGGTTAGTCATTCTGGGATGAGGAATTACAACACAGGATGAAGCAGCTTCCTGAGCCCTGTGTACCTTCAGGGACATGTGATTGCACAGGAATTCTTCAAACCATAATTTTTATATCATCCAGATGTATTCATGATAGGTATACCAGAAGGAGATCTTTTCTATTCAGTGCTTCCCAAAGCCTGAGCATACAAAAGATGCAAATCTCTTTCAAAATTCACAATATTTTAAAAAGTAAAAGTGTAGATGAGTTTCTGATACCTGTTTTCACATTTAGTGGTACTTTAATAATAATTAAAAAAAAATAATCCATTTCCTGGCAGGATATTCCTCAATATGAGTATCAGTATCCAAAGAGTTAATTCTGTGAACAGCAGTAATTGGAAAGAGGATACTGAATGGTATTGTGAAAGTGAATAAATGATGTAACAGAATGTCCTTGCCTTTCTCTTCCTTGCCATCATCAATTTTTTGTTCCTGGGAAATGAATAGATTCATTTTCCTACAGTTACCTGATTTCTTTTCAACAGAACTGGAGAAGGTCAAATGTACTTGAGATCTCAGAAGTATTAATGTTTGATTATCCCTAAATATGTGACCATTTAGCTAACATATCATAAGTCTCTAAGGAAATGCTTAATCAGATGCATGAAGGGAGATACATCGTGCCCAACAACATTAAATATCTGTGTGAAGGGCAGACTTAAGGGTTTGAAGATTTGCAACTCTAATGTTTGCATTAAAAGTCTTTTTGTGTCTTTGCATGGTTAGGGAATGAAGTATAATTTTCTACAGTTGTGAATTGCTCAGAACGAGCAGTGAGTATCTTCTGAATACTGAGAGATTGATCAGCAAGTACTTGGGTCGTGGTGTCACTACTTCAGTACTTCTCTTGGATGCAGTGTTCCTTATTTGGAAGGGAGACATGTTAGCATAGTACAAACACATATCATATGCCAAAGATGTTTACTTTTGGTGAGCAGGAATTGTCCTGAACCCTTCACTTAAAGGCAGAGGGCATAGAGTGCCCTGCAATACTCTGGGCGGGCCGGGGGAAGCCTGGGGGAAAGCTATGCCAGAGGGAAGGGAGCAGTGCTGCCTGCCTTCAAGCCACCGTCAAGCTCCTTAGATAGGTAGGCCAAGCAAGCACATACCTCACTCCCTTCATCTCTTCTTTAGCATAAGTAAAGTGAAGTTTATGGGCTGACATCATCAACATTAAGAAATAAGTCACCTACAGTGAGATCTTCACCTGTTCCAAATTTTGTAATAGAATGGTTTGGAACTTGGGAAGGGGCTACAGAATGGTTCTCTGAAAGATTCTTGTGTAAGGCTTGCTCTGCCTGGACCTCATTGGCCAAGGTTGCTGAGCCGATGATGCTCATTGGCTTTGACTTTGGCAAAATGGAATACGATGGTTTTTTATCAACTTTTTACAAGTGACCCACTTACATAATTGGCTTCTGGCTTAAATTAAAAAACATGCATATATATATGTAAGTGTATATATATATATACATATATATATTTTTCATCCCTGTTTGATCCCTGACTGATTTAAAGGTTTGTACTGGCTAGTAGCACTACATTTTGGATAACTGCTTTAATAATGCTGTGGCTTTTAAAATCAAAACAATCATTCTGAAACTTTAGCATTAGCTGTGTTTGAAAAAATCACAAGTCTTTTTCTGTTTTCACTTTGTCATTCTGTTACAATTAAAGGGCAATAAATATCTGAGGAAGAGCATATTAAAGGACAATATGGATTGTGCCTTGCAGTCTG